GTGAATCTTAAGACTCTTTTTGCTTCTCAAACTCTTTCCACACTGACTGCAGGTAAAACAATTCTTGTTTCCGCTTTGCATTGAAATGATACCTTCTGTATCATCAAGTTTATCTCCTTTGATCTCTTTAAGGTCTGAGGAGAATAAAAAAATTACAAAAAATAAAATAAGTTAATTAGCAAGTCATAAAAAAATAAGACATTAAATATACACAAACTTTCAATTTTATGCAGTGTAGTGTCTGATTTTTCTGATGACATTAATTATATGAGACACACACACACACACACAAAAAATAAAATAAAATCACTGATGTATTCTGATATTCCTATACGTAAAAGCACAACTCTTAATGATGAAGCCAAGCGTAAGAGAAAGGAGAGGCGTCTCCGACAGAGGGCGCGCCGAACCAACAAACCAGCTGGAGGAACTTTTGCTGACCTCTCTACTCAGTTTACACACATGAATCTAAGTGCATAAATGTGTAGGCACACTATATACACACTATACTGACTCCAGGGACAGACTAGTCTTCGCTGAGGCCAGCTTCCAGCCTCCACCGCTGAGACTGCAGCTCTGCACAAGACTTTTGGCCAGCGGAGAATTTAAAATGATCGTGCCGAACTGGGTCTAGTTCTCTCAAGGTTTTTTTTTTCCTCACTCTCCTATTGGTGAAGTGTTTTTTCCCTCTCCGCTGTCGCCACTGGCTTGCATGGTTCAGGATCGGTAGAGCTACACATCAATGGATTTGCTCTACAGTGTTTGGACTCTCAGTAATGATTTAAACCACACTGAACTGAGCTAAACTGAACTGAACTTAAACACTAAAAACTGAACTACCCTGATCCAGTTTCTATGACCATTTATGTTAAGCTGCTTTGACACAATCTACATTGTAAAAGCGCTATACAAATAAAGCTGAATTGAATTGAATATATATTAAGGCTGATATTAAAACTGCCTAAATGTTGAGTTATATTTTATAATGAACTCGGATGACTATGTCATCTTTATGGACTAAAGGGTCTCCCTACTGTTCAAGTGATAAGCATGCTCCTTGAACGTATGATTTAATTAGTTTGTGCACCTGTGTTTATGGTTGATTTCTGAACACTGTTTCTAAATGCTGTCTCCCAACACGGTTTCAGAGTTGATCCTCATCTATGCACGAGTATAAATGCTGACATGTACTAATCAACATTGCGCTTTCTGACTTCTGTATACTGAATGTCTAAAGCACTTTATTCTCCACGGAGGATAAAGTAAAGATTTTGTTTCTGTTATTTGTATCTTCGTTTTGTTCTACTTTTTCACTGGATTTTATTTTATTAATAAAAGTGTATTTTATTACTTTTCTTCGCTGGAGTGGACATAGATTTCATTTTCCAGAACCCATCAAGTTACCCTGTGTGGTAAAGTATGAAATTAATTTATTCTTTTGCAAAATGCATTCTAAAGACGATCCTTTAACTAAACTCTAGCTAAGAAATATAGCGAAGGGAGGATCCTGGTTTATCTTTGTTTAATTAAGGTAATTAAATATAGGCAATCCAGCACAGCAGTTTTTAAAACGGTTTTCAAAATCAGTATCAGGTCTATAACAAATTAAAGCAGGGTTGTCCAAACTCAGTCATGAAGGGCTGGTGTCCTGGAGATTTTATCTTCAACCCTAATCAAACACACCTAAAGCAGATAATCAGGCTCTTATTAGATATACTGGGAACTTTCAGCAGGTGTGTTGCAGCAAATTGGAGCTAAACTCAGCAGGACACCACCCCTCCAGGACCGAGTTTGGACACCCCTGCTGTAAGGATCACGATATTTTTAGTTATAATTTAAGAAATCTCAAATAAATGTAAAATGAATCGCCTCAGGTCATATTTAGTTATGGTATTAAATGTTAAATAAAGCTTTTAAAATGTAAATAAAAGACCAATTAGATTCAGTCCCTATATTTTTCACTGTTTATAAAGACAATCTTTAGTTTTTTTTTTCTAGTCCACATAATCAAATGAACTTATTAACAATAATTCTTATTGTTTTTTTTAATCCTGATAATGAAGAATCAGTAATAAACACCAACCTGTTTGTTCTTCAGTCTCTTCCTGTTTAATTCTGAAGGGTTCTGGATCACTCATGTTCTCTCTGTCCTCAGTCTCTTCCTTTTTAATTCTGCAGGGTTCTGGATCACTCATGTTCTCTTTGTCCTTCAGTAAACTCTGTTTGCAGATTTCCTTCCTGATGGTCTGAAGCTCGTCTTCACTTGTGGACTGATGGGAATATTCCGTTATTTATAGCTGAACTGATGAGGAGGAGGAGCTTCACTGCAGGGGGAGGAGCAGACCAGCCAATAGTAGAAATTCTTCAATCATTTTTATCTTCTAATGAACTTATTCTTTGCTCATTTTTATCTCTCTTTTTTATATAAATGAATTGCAAATTGTTTAATATTAATGTATAATCACAAAGTCAACATCTGTAAAAAAACATTTGTTGGCTCGACTTTAGTCATCTTGTTGCATTGACCCAGTTAAGTTGTATTGACTTAATTCTCCAAGTTCAGGTCACAGAGTTAAATAGTGATTGGTAAAATCTTACCTGTTGTAATTCAGTCTGTCTTTGTGCTGTAAACTTTAGGTGAATTTTTGTAAAAACTCTTCTTAAATATATTTGTGTAATATAAACTTGTGAAAGGAGATGTTTGGTAAAATCTCATGTTAAAAGTCAATCTGGTCTCTCCGGGGAATGTGCTGCAACCTTTAGAATGGAGAAAAAAAATCACATTTAGGTGAATTATTGTAAATATTTGGTCTTAATTATTTGTCTACTGTACATTTATTAATGGAAATACTGGTCAAATCTCACCTTTGGTAAGTCAGTCTGCTCTCTGAGAATATACTACAACCTATAGAATGTAAATACATTTACACTGTTAAGATATTTCCCAAAAAAAAGTGTCTACTTAATGTATTTAAATGACATATGGTAAAATCTATTAAAGTACCTAGTCAGGGAAATAGAAAAGTACTATTTTAACTAACTTTACAAAGCTTTATTAGTGTGGCCAAACCCATATGTATTGGCCAAAATCTAATCTGCACTAGAAACTTTTATACTGGCAAACATACGTTGACAATAACATGTCATTTTACAAGTTATTACACAAATGGGAAGGAGCATTACTTACCAAATGTGATGATTGAACAATTAAAAAATCATATATCCCAAAAATAGCCTGACTTCCTCTAGTGTAACTGGCAGTTGACAAACAGACTTCATGCTGCAAATGTAATATTTAATATTAAGTTAAGGCCACTGACACTCTACTATAGACTAGTTGAGACAGTGAAAACTTACCAGGTTAAGTTGAATTAACAACTTTGTTTCAACTTACAAAGTCATGTTGAAAAACTGATAAGCAGATTTTTTTTTACAGTGTAGCGATTTTATTGCTAAAATGAGAAAAACAAATTAATCAATGTAAAGAAACTAAAAAAAACCTTTCCATCAACTGTGGTTAACCTAACTTATTTACCGTGCTATATAGGAATCATGGTTCATCATAGAATAATGAAATTAATGCCTTTAACCCAGGCTCACTGGAAATAGACGCCCAGGGTTAAATTTTTTTTAAATGAAACCTGAAATGTGCTGCTCAAGTAACATTGCAGCTTGTGCAATATAACATTGCAAGGTAACTTGCATTTCTGTGATGGCACCATTAATGTTGCAAAGTACATTTTGGAGCACAATACATTGCCTTCTTTTCTAGGGACACCCATGAAATTTTAACAAGACAATGCAGAATTACATTCTGCACACATTACGAAGTCCTGGCTGTGGAGGAGGAGGATACAGCTGCAACCCCCACTTTGGGAAATACTGCCTTACAAAAAGTAGATACAGCAAGTTCCTTAACTCTGTTTGACCACCAGATGGACACAATGCACTTTCAGTCTTGAAATATGTTGAGTAATGCTTACTTTTAAAATGCAGTACAGTGCAAGTAAGGAGGATTATTCTTTGCAAGTCAGACTCAGAAACAAGCTTTTGTTTGGTCTCATCTCATTCCATCATGAAGCCAATGATCTATTGGGATGGGAAGAGACAAAAAAATGTTTGTTTCCTAGTTTTGACTTGCAAACATTGATCCTCCTAGCCGTACTGTACTGTGTGTGAATATGACTACACCAGGCTGTCAATGCCTTAAGTTAGCATGAAACTAAAGGCACTGTTGTTCTTTACAAATTGTCCTGAAGTTGAAAAAAAACGTCAAATGAGGATTTAAATAAATGTTTTAAAATGGGTTATTTCTTACGTTACTCTCAGACTGTTGAATACATACGTGTCAAACCTTCTTTAAGGGAATTATGTGCGGAATGTCAATCATCTTGTGGTACAGGAGTGCACGCGCTTCTCTTGTGGTTCTTTAATAACAACAGCCGCTCACGTCACGCGCTCTCACTCACGGTCACGTGCTCGTCACGGCTCCAGGAAGTTGCTGCAGCACATACACAGAAATGTCGATGCTAGCTGTCAAACGCTGAACACGTCGCTGCTCACCGACGGACATTTAAACGGTTAAAACCAGAATAAAAGCTCTGCGACCTGCAGGACAATGGGATGAAATACATTTGGACGTCGAGCATTGGGTTTCAGCGAGTTTAAAGGACTAACGTTGTATTTGGAGGCTAACTAGCCAACTCTTCATGACACATTAACAACATAACACAACAAAAACAAAGGTGGTTCGGTGTTTTTCTCGAGTGTTTTAGGCACCGTGACTGAACAGCGATGGAGTGGGACAATTCTGGGACATTTTGCAAGACTCAAAGTGGTTAACTAAGAAGTTAGCGATCTGTCTACAAGTGAATTTGCAGTGTTTTCGCATTTTGTTTACAGTTCAGTCAGGAGATTCTACGGTGTTTGGGTGTTTTCGTGTTCTGGTTTTCGGTTATTTATTTCTCTACAAGTGTTAAGTGGTTCACAGGAGCTCCAGGATGCACGACGCATACGAACCAGTTCCCATCCTGGAGAAACTGCCCCTCCAGATCGACTGTCTGGCGGCCTGGGGTGAGTTTTGCTCATCTTTTCTTCACTTCATTTGCTTTGTACACTTTCAACACTCATGTGTCATAAATAATGCATATTCATGCGTCCGATAATGTCTGTTTTAAATCCTTGAGGTGTCTGTAGCGTTTACATAACACAATGATGTACAGTCAAATAAATGTGCTTAAAGGGGCAGTACAAAAATGTACTTATCATTAACCTTTTTTTGTGATTTCAAACATTTCTAAGCTCCAATTTTCCTGTTAAACAATTTAAGATATTTTGGAGAATGTTTGAAACTGGTAGCCATAGTATTTTCTACTACTCACCGGCCACTTTATTAGGTACACCTGTCCAACTGCTTGTTAACGCAAAATTCTAATCAGCCAATCACATGGCAGCAACTCGATGCATTAATGCATGTAGACATGGTCAAGACGATCTGCTGCAGATCAAACTGAGCATCAGAATGGGGAAGAAAGGGGATTTAAGTGACTTTAAATGTGGCATGGTTGTTGGTGCCAGACGGTCTGGTCTGAGTATTTCAGAAACTGCTGATCCACTGGGATTTTCACACACAACCATCTCTAGGGTATATAATGGTCTGAAAAAAAAAAAATCCAGTGAGCGGCAGTTCTATGGGCGCAAATGCCTTGTTGTTGCCAGAGGTCAGAGGAGAATGGCCAGACTGATAGAAAGGCAACAGTAACTCAAATAAGCACTCGTTACAACCGAGGTCTGCAGAAGAGCATCTCTGAACGCACAACACATCCAACCTTGAGACGGATGGGCTACAGCAGCAGAAGACCACACCAGGTGCCACTCCTGTCAGCAAAGAACAGGAAACTGAGGCTACAATTGACACAAGCTCATCAAAACTGGACAGTTGAAGAAGAAGAAGAGAAACGTTGCCTGCTCTGATGAGTCTCCATTTCTGCTGCCACATTCGGATGGTCGGGTCAGAATTTGATGTCAACAACATGAATTTATGGATCCATCCTGCCTTGTATTAACGGTTCAGGCCCGGTGGTGGTGCTGTAATGGTGTGGGGACACACTTTGGGTCCATTAGTATCAATTGAGCATCGTGAATCATCTCGGACTGGTTTCTTGAACATGACAATGAGTTCCCTGTACTCAAATGACCTCCACAGTCCCCAGATCTCAATCCAATAGAGCACTTTTGGGATGTGGGGGAACGGGAGATTCGCATCATGGATGTGCAGCCGACAAATCTTTTGCAACTGCATGATGCTATCATGTCAATATGGAGCAAAATCTCCGAGGAATATTTCCAGTACCTTGTTGTATCTATGCCATAAAGCAGTGGTCACCAAACTTGTTCCTGGAGGGCCGGTGTCCTGCAGGTTTTAGCTCCAACCCTAATCAAACACACCTGAACAAGCCAATCAAGCTCTTACTAGGTATACTTGAAACACCCAGGCAGGTGTGTTGAGGCAAGTTGGAGCTAAACCCTGCAGGGACACCGGCCCTCCAGGACCGTGATTGGTTACCCCTGCCATAAAGGATTAAGGCAGTTCTGAAGGCAAAACAGGGTCCCACCCAGTACTAGGTGGGTCTAAGGTGTACCTAATAAAATGGCCGGTGAGTGTAGACGTCAATGGCTACAAGTTTCCAAAATATCATCTTTTGTGTTCAAAAGAAGATATAAAGTCAAGCTAGTTTGAATCAAACAAATAAGTAAATGATGACAGATAGACCGTAAGAACTCCTGTAACTGATTTGCTCCAGAAAGCTTATTATGATTTTTATAAAATGTTAAAACAAAGAAAAACATTATTGGTAAGGCTAATGACGCAGAGGAAAATAATATAGAAAGACACAAAATAGCAAGAATATAAAAATAGTGGTTTTGCAACACCAAAACAAACATAATGACCTGACCATTTAAATCAGACCAAATTGAATTAACCCTTTTGCCAAATTGCTCTTTAGGTTGATAATCCTGCTTTGTTTTCAGATGATTGGCTCCTTGTGGGGACCAAACCGGGTCATCTGCTTCAGTACAGGATCAAGAAAGATGCCGGTGCGTAGCTTCTGTTTTCATCTGTGCTCATGTTTATTTGCTTTTTCACTTGTTGTTTAATTGATTATATTTTTTAAATCACAGGTACAAACAGGTTTGAAGTTACATTAGAGAAATCCAATAAGAACTTCTCCAAGAAGATTCAGCAGGTAAATATACTGAATAAGTTAATTAATGCAGGGTTTTTTTACATCTTTCCACAGTTGACCTCTAAGGCTAAAACTCAAAATTAGGTTTAAAGATTGAAAACCCCTGTATTAGAGGATTAGTTCACCCAAATGTTTGGTTTTATTTGCACATTGTTACTATGCATGTTGGATTATGTTATTAATATAATATAATACATACATTTTGCCATCACTAACCAACCGTTTCCTCCCTCAGCTATTTGTAGTTTCACAGTACAAGATTTTGGTTAGTTTGTTGGGTGAGTATTGATTTATTTGTGTATTTTCTTGCTTACTTGCCTACATACTTGGTTACTGCAGTGTTGTTACCTTTTATCATTCCAGAAAACAACATCCACGTTCACGACCTGCTCACGTTCCAGCAGATAACTGTGGTATCAAAAGCTAAAGGGGCTACATTATTTGCCTGTGACCTGCAGGTATGTAAAAAGGCCCCTTTTTTGCCTTTTCCCCCATAGAAACAAGACATTGTGTTTTTGAAATGGTTAATTTGACAAACTATGAATGTGGTTTCTCTGCTAACACACCTGGGTGGTTGTGTGGAGAACTGCCATCATATAATCATGGCAAAATCACAGTTGCCACATTTGCTTTACAGGCTGAGTAAAGAAAATACTGAGAGTTGTTCAATTCAATTCACCTTTATTTGTGTTGAGCTTTTACAATGTAGATTGTGTCAAAGCAGCTTCACATAGAAGATGATAAATTGAAACACATTTTTTCAGAGTTTAGTTGGTCAGTTGTTTCTTAACACATTGTAAATGTTAGATATATATATTGCTGAAATGTATTACAAAGGTTATAAAGTATGTAGAAATTAATTGTGGATATAATTCCTTGAAGAGAACCTATTTAGCCTCTTTGCAAGATGTAAAATAAGTCTCTGATGTCCTTAGAGTGTGTGTGTGTGTGTGTGTGTGTGTGTGTGTGTGTGTGTGTGTGTGTGTGTGTGTGTGTGTGTGTGTGTGTGTGTGTGAGTTTCAGCTCAAAATCCCCCACAAATAGTGTTTTATAACTCTCTGAAACTGACCCTTTTAGGCTTTGATCCTAATTGTGGCATTTTGGTCACTGTTGCTTTAAATTCAAATGAGATTTAGCTTTTTTTTAAAGAGGGCGGAGCTACAAATGCCTGTATGTCAGCATAGTGGCAGATTTAAAACTCTAATGGCGGACCTCTGCTTTTTACTCAGGGCTGTTTATGCTAATGAGGAAGAGATGGTCAATAATGGGCGGTGCCCTGTCAGTCAAAATGTTTCTACAAATTGTTTTTATGAAGTATGACTATAAAAAAAATAATGAATTCATTTTTACCATTAAAGGCTGGCTATATCCACACAACTGTTTAAACCCCTTTTAAAGGTGATTTTTGCATAATGAGTTCTTTTCAAATAGTTTTTCACCTATTTTGTGATTTTATTTTATTATTTTTTTGAGCAGGGCTAAAATGGCAAAATAGAGCCAACAAACTTCGTCCCCGCCCCTAACACTTCTACACTACTGCGTTTTAGTCTCATTGGTTGTACCACTCAATCTCGAGTTACTGTCACTGTTTAATAATACACTTTTAATTTTGCTAGCTATCAGAATATATACAATTTAAAAACACAGAATGTTTTCAATTTGAAAACATTCATAATTAGCATCTGAAAACGCATGCAAATGTGAAAGTGGTGTTGATGTGCATGGTTGTCTATTTGAGCACACTCAAACACGCATGGCTTTATAAAGCCAAATAAGCTAACGTTACTAGAGATTGCATCAGTTGCATTTACTCATTGTAGCGACATTTGACAATCCCCGAGTCCAGAATGTATTTCTGTGAGTGGGCGTGGTCTCAGTGCTGCCTGTGGACACACCCCTAGGTTTTGAGAGCAGAGTCCTGCGTATTTTTATAAGATTTTCGTGACATTTCATTGTTGAAATTGGTCTGAGTGGTTAACACATTTTTTTTTGTGTGACCAACTCGAAACACATTTTAATATCATTTTTTTAGTACTTTGTAGACACAGAAACAATCAAAAATTGCCATTTGCCATTTAACTTTTCTGTCAATGTCTTCTGTCCTTCATATTTTGCTAAAATGACATGTTGGTTAGCCATGTATATTCAGTTGGGGAAATTTGATTTTCATAACCGCCTGTCACTGACTCCAGATCCCTTTTTGAACCTGATCTTCCTCTTTCTCTCTTCCTCCAGCAGTCTGAATCTGGTGAGGCTAAACTGCGCATGTGTGTTGCAGTCAAGAGGAAAATTCAGCTCTATTACTGGAAGGACAGAGAATTCCACGAATTACAGGTTGATTCATGCTTGGAAACACTGAAACAGGGTATTTGTGGTAACAATAACAGTAACAATAGTATAATTCTTGTTTGGTCATGTTTTAGGGAGATGTCACTGCTCCGGACATTCCCAAGTCCATGGCGTGGTGTGAGAACTCTATATGCGTGGGTTTCAAACGAGACTACTATCTGATACGGGTAAGAAAATACATACTCGTTTGAAATCATTAACATAGCAAGCTCCTCATTAGTGTTGATACCAGCTTGTTATCCTTTAAATATAATTTATTTGGTGGGAGTGCCATTTAATTAACGAAATCAAACTTACTATGTTTATTTTATAAGCACACATTGCTAGTCTTAAGGTAAACTTAACCGGTTTACACTTTGGGCTGGTGCTGCATCGAAAACCTCACCAAACTTACAAGGTGTTTCTACTTGAGTTGGCGTGCTCTCTGCTGTACTAATATCAGACCCCCTAGTTTTTCACAATTTTTATTTATTTATTTTTTGTGATTATTTATTTTTTGTGATTTAAAAATGACTCATTCTGTGGTGGTAATTCCCAGAAATTTGCGGACAAGTGAGATTGAAAAAATAATAATATAAAAAAGTATATATAATATATATAGATCTTATTTAGTTCTTATTTACCCTATTAGGTTACGTGTGCAATCTAACACAATGAAACAAATGATGATTATAAAACTTTAAGACAAGATCCAAAACGGTAGGGATTAAACCAAAGTAAGGTTGTATACCTCTTATTTTTATCCACATACTTTTTTTTCCCCTCTCAGATTTCACCCCCCAGAGCATCTAACATCATGTACCTCACATATAGGAAATGCGTTTAGGGCTTTCCCTACCGTGATGCACCTAAAACACGAATTGCCGTAAACCTTGTCAATAGCAGGGAAGTGTTTTCTCTTGTCAACTGCAGGGAAAGAGTTTAGCGAAATCATTTATTGATTTGACGCACACCATAATACCAGCCATACATGTAAAGCACAAATAATGTCCTTCAATTCAGGCACGTCCAGTGGTCATCTTCCTTGAATCAATCTCCGTCATTGTAAGCTGCTTGCTTTTCTGTCTGTTCCATTGCTCCATTTGTTAGATGTTTGCAGCTCCGACTTTTTTTTGCAGTCTGAAGCGCGTCGAATGCAAAAAAAAAAACACCCAATTCGCACCACAGGATGTCTAATCGCATCTTTATATCACGCTGCATCTGTTTGCTGCACAGGGTGCAAAACAATTCGTCCCTTCCATGTAATGTTTGGGCTGTAAGGGTGCAGGTGAGACATCATTTTCTGAGAGACACTCAAATACATCACGTGCCCTGCGTATACAACATCTATAAGTTATGTAAAACAATTAATTGCAAACGGAAATAAATATATTTTGGTTATATGGTTTGGAATTGGATTTTTTATGAGTTTATTTAAATTTTTGCAATTATTTTGTGTTTAATTAAGTATTTTGCATGATCTAAAAAATGTGCAACTTTTTGTGCGTTGTATTCAGCGATCGTGGAATTGCGATTAACTAGGGTCTGTATTATTTGCAACAGCAGAGGAACTGTCATAATGAAACAATGGTAAAGAAGACAATGCAATTGCTTTAAAGCTTTATAATTTCATATTGAAAATGAACCTATTTATGGAAATTAGAGATGCACCGATTGCCGTTTTCATTTCCAAAAAAATAAATACATTTTGGTGAGTGTTACCTAAAGATACCAAATTTTGCTGAATGAATTAATTTAACTATATGTAAAATTGTTGTTGATAAATTTGTAGGAGGCTTACAAAAAATATTAATTTTAGTACAATTATGTAAAGTAAATGTATATCCTTACCAGCTGTGTGGATATACTATAAAATAAAAATAGTTTACTTAATAAGCTTTGAATGGCCAGAGTCGGCTCCAAGTCATGCATCTACAGATAAGGAGCAGCGTGCGAAATACAAAAAATGTTGAGATGCCAGCTGAAATGATTTTACACGCACCCAAAACGAACTTCCACTAACACAGTCACATTCGCCACATAAACCCAAGCAGACTTGTGGATTCGTTGAGTATAAACTGACCTTTAATCTGTTTAAGTGAATCCACTTGTTTTGGTAAACTGTAATCAAAAGCTAACCATTTGCTTCCTCTCTGGATTGGCTGTCCTTCTCTCTGTTTGACAGATTGGGTAAAATATGCATAGCCACATCCCTCAACTGTTAATTTACAGTAGGTGAAAGATGAGAGGAGGAGCTCAAAAACAAAACCTCCTACTCAATGTTCCATTTTTAGCTGGAAATACTTCTATCGTACTTGTATTAAAGTCTGCAGCAACTTCCAGTTCAGGTCATTGCACATTAAAAAATAAATTTCACCCCATGTTGTGTCAGCCATATTTACACACGGCCTCCAATTTTTATTTAATGATTGAAGAAAATTTAGTCTTTCTAATCTATACCATTGTTATACTTCAAATGTAATTCATTTTTCCTTTTTGTAAATAAAAGTAATCTCTGTGTAGTTTGTACTATATTGTTGGTCTGTTTTATGTACATTGTTGTTACTGCAGGGCTCGAAAATGCGACCATTTTGGTCGCATATGCGCCCGAAATTTTATCTATGCGACCTTGAAATATATTTGGGAGCATTTCTGCGAGTGTTTAAAGTTGTAGTGTGCGACCAATTTTTACTGCAAAATGTTCAGCACATACGCGGATTCGGGAGACATTCACGCAGAATGCATCTCTAAGCTCTTTGTCTGCACTTGAAACGCGAAACGCAGCGCTCGGGAATGGTTTAAAACAGTTGTCATGTCAACTTGCTGCAGTAAACAAATCCAAGTCCGTAATGCTTGCCCCGCCTTCGCGCTCTTCTTATTGGGCCACCACTGCTCTAGCACTGAACGCGAATGATTGGTTAATAT